CCAATGGCGTGCTCTAATTTTTCGTAGCTCAAACTGTTATTTAAAAACAAAATTTTGGAATCAGAACTGCCAGTTGTAAAGTATGACTAATTGAAGGTTCCACCATTTTTGGCATCAGTTTCAGAGTGCCGTACTTAAGAGCTGTCATTTTTGAATCAAAAGTGACGTTAAATTCAGATGAAAGCGTTCATCAGTCAAAAGAATCCATTCTCAGGTGTTTCTCAAGAGAATGTTAAAAAAAGCGGTCTCATTTCGATGGAATCCTATCTTGACTGTTTCGGAATAGAATGGGCAGACACACGTTCTATTGGTTCATGGAATGGTTCAGAATGCTTTCTATCCAGGTAGAGAACAATTTTTGAACTGAGAAGAAAGCATTCCGTACTAGTGTGGAACAGTAAAGAATGCATTGCTTTAGATTCAGAACTTTTCTTTTTGTTTGTGAAAACGTTCGCAAACCTGTAGAATGCATTCTTCATGTAAAAGACAAGTCTCTACATTTTTATGAATGCGTTCTCTTCCGTTATTTTTAGAAATATTTTTCACTGGGTTATATTATTTTCACTTTTATATGCATTAATAAATCCTATTTTTTTATCAATAAAACACAAGAAATAAAACTACATTTTCATTGATTTATAATTTAAATCTTCTGAAATTATTTTTTCATATAGATTGATAATGGAATGTTTTAATATAGTAAAAAAATTAAAACTAAAACAATACGATAGATTTCATTCTCTTTTTTTCTTTGAAAGTCTTATCTCTGAACAAAAAAAAACCAACACAAAAATTTTAATTATTGTAAAAGTAGAACAATTACATTCAATCAATATGTTTACAAAAAATTAGATATTTCTTCTGATCGTATCAATTAAATTACAAATATTTCATGAATTTCTTAGCAACATGAAATCCATTTTTATTTCTACTCCATACTTTTGTTTCATTTCAGTACCAATGCGTGCAAGTTCCATTGATATTCCTCCAAATGCAACATGGTCACAGAATGGTATCACCGTTGCTGGAGGAAATGGACGAGGCAGTGGAACCAATCAATTCTTGGTCCCATGGGGTTTTTACGTCGATGACAATCTAACGATTTATGTCGCTGATACTGAAAATGCTCGCATTGTTGAATGGACATTTGGTGCAACAAATGGAAAAGTAGTTGCTGGTGGAAATGGAGCAGGGATTGGACTTCATCAATTACAATACTCACAAGATGTGATTATCGACAAAGAGAGGGATAGTCTCATCATCAGTGATAGAGGGAATAGAAGAGTAGTTGGATGGTCTCGTCGAAATCGTACTCGTGGAGAAACAATTATTTCAAATATCGCTTGCGTGGGTTTGACAATGGACGACAATGGTTATCTCTATGTCGTTGACATAGAAAAACATGAAGTAAGACGATATAAAATTGGTGACACTAAAGGAACAGTAGTCGCAGGTGGCAATGGAAAAGGAAATCGTCTCGATCAACTCTCTTGTCCCCGCTGCGTATTTGTCGATCGAGAACATTCAGTTTATGTGTCTGATTGGTTCAATCATCGTGTCATGAAATGGGAAGAAGGTGCAACACAAGGCACTATCGTCGTCGGTGGTCAAGGAGAAGGAAATAGTCTTACACAATTGAATGATCCTTATGGAGTCGTTGTCGATCAATTGGGTACTGTCTATGTGGCTGATTCTGTTAATCATCGAATCATGCGTTGGCCAAAAGGAGCCACACAGGGAAGTGTCATTATTGGTGGAAACGGCGAAGGATCACAGTCGAATCAACTCGCTTATCCCACAGGTTTATCATTTGATCGACATGGTAATCTCTATGTCGTCGATTTCGAAAATCATCGAGTACAAAAATTTAATATCGCATAAACTCAATTCGTATGATTAATTTTTTTTGTTTCGTTCTTTTTTTTCTCTTTCAAATAAATTGTGATTGAATGAAAAAATGTATTCAAATTTACTCTATTCTCTCGCACGCGCGCGCGACCAGCAACCACCCTGGTAGAGCCATGACGAGCGTAATGCTCAAGCACGCGCGGGAAGACCCACATCATTCACATTCACCCAGCCGATGCCATATGTCAGTGAGTCTGGGGGCCTGATCATGTTGCCATGGACACCAAAGGAGTTCCTGGCCGGGCTTTTAGGGACTACTCAGAAGTCCTTCTTATAACACGAAACCCTAATCTCAACGTATCTCACTCACCCCAACTAGTCTCATCTCAACGAAGAAAAGAAAAAGAAAAAAAAATTAACTCTCTCGTTGATGTTGAATGATGACGTCTTTAAAAGGAAAAGAAAAACATGAATATAAAAGATCACAAGGGGATTTACCACCCTCTGTATGATCCAATAAAGAAAAAAAAAAAGAAGAAAAAAAATAAAAACTGATACCTACATTTTTTTATTGTCTTGATTTGAATTGAATTGTATAATTTTGTATCGTTGCAGCCAATCTAAAATATAAAAAAAAAGATAAGAATTTGATTCAATAAATTGAATAATTTTTACATGGAAAATCATTCATATTTATACGTTAAAAAGTCGATAATTTTCTTTTTTTTTTCTCGTCAGAGAGTGATGAAAGGATGATAATAATTAAGCTATTATCAACATACACGCATACATTGAGATAAAGTCAATCACAGTATCTCAATGTATGTGTATGAATGATGCTTAATTGACGTACACACTCATTATCATGGGCGTAAGTCACCACTGAAGGCAGGGGGGGGGAGGCGTAGTCCTTTGAATTCCCATGTAACCATGAAGCGCTTTTTTGACGCGTTTAAACGCATCTCAAAATTGAAACTGTCTCCAAACGCACTGGAATGCGTTCACCATATGGATGTTTGAACGCGTTGCAAAGTTTTGCTTGCTTTTAGACGCGTTTCGCGATTAGAATGCATCAAAACTAGTTCAAATTAGTTTTTACACGCGTTTCAACGCGATTAATTTTACTCTTGCGTTTGAATGCGCTTACTTTGTATGCATTGGATGCTTTTAAGTTTCAGTAACGCGTTTAAATGCGGGTTTTTTGTTTTGTATAAATAAGATGCATGTAAACGCGTCTCTAGCTATGAATGTACAGCGTGCCATCAAGAATGGAAACTCATTCATCAAAACATAGGAAAGTGGGAATGGAACAGTAAACTAAATTACCCATTTTTCATTCAAAAAGAAAATATGAAAACTGTATATCAAATTATTACGATGATGTATTAAAGTTTTATTGGATTTCCGATTCTTAATACGACTATTCTTAATAATCTGCAAATTAACATGTCACTGACTAGCATTGCGTCAAAGATAGAAGATAAGAAGAAATAAGTACAAACCAGAAATTTCATCATGTTTATATCCGTCATACGAGAGATGTCCATCGCGGGTGAAACTCTGCCGCTGCCGCGCCGCGGCCTTAGAAAAAAAAAGCTGCCGCGACGGTTTATAAAAAAATGCTGCCGCGGCACTACCGCGCCGCGCTGACTTATCAAAAAAACGTTGCCGCGCCGCTGTCGCGATGAATTATAAAATAAACGTGCCGTCGCCGCGGCGGTTTACAAAAAAGTGTTCCTAATTTAACTACTGCGACTATATTTGACCAGAGATATTGGTACTAGTCCATCAGATTCATTCAATCTCGGGGTGTTTCATTTGTAAACCCTGAAATTCTATTAAATTCATGCAGTTTTTCAATGTTTCCCAAAAAAATCCAGCCGCTGCCGCGCCGCTGCCGCGATGGTCTTTGAAAAAATCTGCCACTACCGCGCCGCTGTCGCGATGATTTTTAAAAAATCTGCCACTATCGCGCCGCTGCCGCGATGATTTTTTAAAAAACCTGCCGCCACCGCCATCGCGGCAGCGGCAGCGCCGCGATGGACATCTCTGCGTCATACTAGTTCATGAAAACCTAGTAGGCTGTGAAGTAGAAATTAATGAGAATACGTATCAACTTTGACACATACAGATCATTCATTGGAAAACAGTATTGAAACAACATTAAGTCCTGATATGTCACCACCATCAGGGTGTGGGTGTGGGTGTGAATGTGGGTGTGCGTGTGGAGTGTGG